TTAGTAACTTTACCAAATGGCACAATCATCACCATAACTCTGCTTTCAGAACATTTTCATCACCCTGATAAGACCCTTCATGCCCATTACAGGTAATACTCTTTTCCATTCTCTGCCCTAAGCAACCACTAATTTATTTTGTCTCTATAAATTTGCCTTCCCTGGATTTGCCATGTAAAAGGAATCATACAATATGTGGTCTTATGTTTGAGCCCTTTCACTTAGCATGATGTTTTCAAGGTTCATCCATGTAGCATGTATCAGTTTGTTCCCTTTTCTTGCTCAGTTTTCCATTGTATAACTGAACCACATTTTGTGTTTATTCATCAACTGATAGACATTTAGATTGTTTCCAGCTTGAGGCGATTATGAATACTGCTCCTATGAGCATTCACCTGCAAGTCTTTATGTGGACATATGTTTTCAGTTCTCTTGGGTAGATACTTAGGAGTGAAATGTTGGGTCACATGGTAGCTTTATGTTTTAACTTTTTGAGAAACTGCCAAATTGTTTTCCAAAGTGGCTACATTAACTTTTATAAACTCCACCCAAGGATTTAAAGTCCACCTCTCAGATTTAGATGTGCACCTGGATCTGGATCATCCATCCTCTTCTCAGCTGATCTAGCAGGTGCGGATAGTAGTATAAAAGTTATAATCATACTTGTATTGCCCCAGGACATCGTCTTAGAAATTATTGAAGATTCCTATGCAGCCTCCTTCTTTCCTTAAGCTCCCAGTAAACAATGAACTCTTTACCTGGTTTTCTGAGCTATGGAAGCTTCTATTACAAAGCATTTGAGAATTCACAAAGGAAGGATACCTTTCACCCAGTTGCCTGGCCCCTTTGGAAGACTTTTATGGTTATCCAATAGGCACCCTTACCTTGAAAGACTCTGGTTCACTGTAGATAGAATATAATCATCAAGAATCTAACAAATGTTGATTACATGCCCAACACTCTGCTAGGTGCTATATATTATAAAGAAGAAATCCTATGTTGTCTTTGCCCTCAAGAAATGTACAACTTGGCTGGGAAGATAAAACTAAACACATATGAGAACAGAGAACAACTGAGGACTCAACAGATTGCGGTGACAGTAGTGGGGGTTGGGATAATGAACTAGAAAAGTTAGACAGGAAAAGGAGGCAGAGGCTCTGGAAATTATTTTTTGTTGAGCTCTTACTATGTGTCAGGCACTGTTCTAGTTACTGGCGGTATAGTGACGAACAAAGTAGACAAAATTCTTGCATTCAGAGAGTTTACATTTTTAGGAAGACATGACAATAAGCAAAAATAAGTAAAATAGTCTGTTAGATGGTGGCAGTGGAAAAATGAAGCAGGGAAGTGGGATAGGGAGTTGGGTGTAGTCAGGGACCATGTCTCTTAGAATGTTTTAT